AAGTTGAAAGAGAAAAGATTTAAAAACTAAATTTTCTAGTCATCTTTGAAGCATAGTTGCCACCACATAGAACAACAGCTCAGACAAGTAAATGGATCCAAAAGCCATGGTGCGAAAATCGTACAAGTGAGTAAAATAAGGATCAGAACATTTTATTTGTTTCAAGTCTAATAAAACAAGAACTACATTGTCCTATGACCTTTTGCAAGTCTAGATGCCATGCTTCACTAAATTGAATGGCCAATAGGAAGTAGAACCTCTGGAACATAAAATAAATATCCATTAAGCAGCAAACCCAGAAACGTAGATGGAAGTTGTCAAACTACGTCACTCAGTGAATTTTTATGCAAACATAATTTCCTCAGGCATTGAAAAAAGTAAACTACCAAATAATCACATTTATAGACTATCAGCACCAAAATTTAATGAACAGTACAAGATGCTAAAATGAAACCTCTTTCGGTATAGGAACGCTAAGAAAATATCCCCTCTCTCTACACTATAGTAACTTAACATAAAATATTTCATATAGCTTACCTCCCATGAGAGAGCATGTGGCCTACGATGATCACTCTTCAACGTAACTGGCACCCCATCAATCAACTGAGAAGATGACCTTTTTATTTTCTCAAAGTCTTCCACTCTGGTGCTTAGATCTCTAAAATCAGAGGCAGCCTCTTCAAGAACAAGAATGGCCTCTTTCATCTGCTCTAAATCGCATTCTAGTTCACAAAGAAGATAAAGTTCGTCCACATCCCTATTAAGATTCTCAAAAAGAAAGCACCAAAGCCGCTGCCTAAACCTTTCTTTGCTTTCCCCTGTGTCGTCTCCAAGGGCACTCACATTTTGTGAGTTTGACATATCATGTAATATACCACATTGTTGATCCCCATGATCCTCAACAGAGGCTGTGAAGGTAGACACTCCCAAAATTTCAGGATCACTCTCTGGTGGAACTAATCCTTTATCTTTGGCAATATGAACTTCACTTGAACCCCCAATTTTCCCTGATACTTCAGCAATTTCAGGGTCACCTACCTCAGATAGAATAACAGGTGCCTGAAGTTTCCCCACTACCCCAGCCTCTTCACCAGCTAAAGTACGGAAGCTTAAATGATCATCAACTACTTCTTCGATGTGTTCAGTATGTATATCCTTGCAATGCGAAACATTGTTATCCAGATCAACCTTTTTCCCATTCAATATTGGCTCTTCAGCATTTTGAGAAGATATTATATTCACCTCCTTACAGTTATCTTGACGTAATTGGTCCTTAGCAGTCACTGAAAACATCTGATGAGAAACAATACGTGCATCCACAGATTCTGCCACCAATGTGTTTTCTTGTGAATTTGCACAAGAAGCAAAATTATGACCAATTCCATGCTCACTAGAGGCCACCAGATTATCATCTCCAATAGCACCAAACTTGATTCTGGTGCCGACAAGGTTAGCATGAGGAAGTGCCAAACCCTCATCCTCGAGATCACCCCACTTGATTTTATGAACCACTTCAGAATTATCTTTTGCAGGGATTTTCTCAACATCTCTAGTTCCACCATCAGAATTTTTAATAAAAGGAGGTGACTTAGGACATCTAGTATCTTGTCTAATAACACCAGTATTAATATATGGCGCACCCATTTTGTTTTCATTTGGGACAGGAATAGAATCAATTCCCCGGCTATGTACCACATAATTTTCTCGTACCTTTGGAAGCTGGGATCTGCGCTTGCCACAAGAATTTCCACTGTTTTCACTTGATGAGGTCTGACTACTCGAATGGTTAGAAGCATTTTTTCCAGAAAATCCCCCAACCCAACTCTGTAGAGAGAACTTTGAGCTACTTCTATTTTTCTGGACAGGAGGCAAACAAATAAAAAGCAAAGTTCTAGAACATGTCAGTGACACAAGAATGAATCGATTACGTTCTGGTAAAACATGTAAATCTACAATATTATATCTATGTATTAGTAGCATGAAAATGTTACATCTAAAAATATAATAATGAGAAACCTGCGCATTCATTACTTGAATTGATTGATACGATGAATACAACCAAACCTGCGGTCTCTACACTTTAAGCTCCACTTATACATTTCAATGAAGATAATGCCAAGTTAATTGTTTTTGTCAGTAAGACTCTATGAGCTTCAATTACTATATAATATCAAAATCTCTAACATGTATATTGCAACTCCAAATAAGTTTGGTGAAACCATTTCATTGTTAAGAAAAAGAAATTCCATTAAAATAAACTAAGCAGATCCCTATTAATTTAGACCTAATTATCTCCAGTGAAATCTGCAACATTGCATTGCATAATGGATGCTAAGGTTGGTAATGGAAGACCAATGCGACAATAGTAAACCAAGCGCGAGAGAGAGAGAGAGAGAGAGACCAAAAAAAACACCTTTTTCACTTCGAACCATCCAGAGCCCTCATCATCTACTGCTTCTCCACTGTTCTCCATTCAAAATTGAGCAAACCCCAATTATATTCAGCCCAAAAAAAAAAAGACGAAAACAGATTGAATTTACAAACAAATTTGGGAAAGTTTGAAACTTTGGTTGATTTTATTTTATTAAACAATTTTGGGAGGGTGTTTTGAATAATATAAAGGGAAATGACAGCTCAGACAAAAAGAAGCTCTGAGGAAACGGAATTTACAGGGATTTGGGAATGTGGGAATTGACTTTTGTGTTTGAGAGAAGCGAAATTGAAGAAAAGGGAGTTTCTTTTTTGGGTGTAAGGTGGTGGGAGGGAAGAAGAGAGTGTGAGACGACAGTCGGTGAAAGAGGAAGGAGTTGCGCAATCAAAGTTATTTTATTGATTTGCCCATGTTGTCAAAAGATACGACATTTTCAGTTTGTCGTTACATTTCATTGCCACCCTCCAATTTAGCATTTCTGGGACCTTGACCAGTGGGGCCTGAAACCCAATCACTCAGTTATTGGGCTTCTTGCTTGATATAAAAGTCCATTGGCCCAATTTGGAGCTGCTGCAATTAGATGGACATTGATGGGTTTTTGTAGTAGCATTAGACAAAATCATATGGAAGACAATGTTTTGATTAAAAAAAATATGGAAAATACTTCTCTTCAGGACAGTATGACATGTCTGCAAAAGTTCTTCTTTTTTGTATTTTTGATAAATTATTTTACACGAGTCAAACTGTGATTTGAATGAAGGAGTATCTTTTTTCACAGAAGAAGACAGGCAATATCCTAAAAATATTGAAGATAGACAAGTGGTTACCTTTGAATTGTGAAGCGAGAGGAGCCTTTGGTTCTAACTTAAAAGATGGGGTTTCGAAAAAAAAAAAAAAAAAAAAAGAAAAAGATGGGGCAACCAATTGAACCAGAAATATTGAGTTCCAAGACATTGTTGATCATTAGTTGTGTTGTGTTTATCTTTCAATATTAGTATCAACACATATTGTCTTGACTTTCTTTAGCACCGCTTGGAAACATGAATCATACATAGCAGTTGAAACGTCAACAGCACTTGTTAGTTTAGGACTTGTAGTTGAGAATGATTTCAGTTTAGTTTATAATGGAAAAGAGATTGCTTGTGGTGTGGCTGTAGGTGGGCCCTCCAAATCCAATTTTAACCTCGCCAGCCATGCAATCTCTGTGAATTCTTGTACGAGTAGTGAACAGAGCAGAGGAGTTTCATGATTGTCACGCAGTCACGCAATGGGTTCCTTTGAATTTTGAGGCGAGACGAGCCTTTGGTTCTGAGGAAGACATAAGGGCAAGGCAAAAACTTCAATGTAAATCAGTAAGACTGAAGACAGAGCCATAAGGCGTGGCAGTAGTTTTCACTTTAATAGCAGATAGCAGAGGATGTTGCTGGCTAGCCTAGAAATTCAAAGTAAAGGAATCTAAATTAAAAGGCTATTCCAATCCAAATTCAACAGATTTAGTTGATATTCTTAATTGCCACCACATTCACACCAGTTGAAGTTGAGTGTCATTCAGTCGACTACCTCAAGAGTTTGAAACTCCTCTTTGTGAGTGATGGCTGCTTCCATGAGATGGTGTGGGCCAATTTCCCCACCATTTTTCAAGAAGGACTTGAACATGTAGATATTGTCGGAGAAGCCACTCATGATCATGAAGCCTGGATGTTGTGTACAAATGCAGGGATGCTCGTCCTCGTTCAAATACAGAATGTGATATTTTCTGGAAATTCTATGCTATTTAAGGTTAATTAGCCTAAATGGTGTAGCAGCCCTCTCAAGCTATCATTTTCTTGCTTTTTAAAGTATTATTTCAGTTTATCCTTAAAAAAATTATGGAAGTTGGAACCATAACTAGTAATTTTACTTCTTAAATCCGACTAATGCAAAAAAACTCATTTGATTTATAAATGGTATATCATCCGTTCTTATATTTTTTAAAAAGAAATTAATCATGAAATATTAGACCAACACATCTCAATCATTTGATACAAGAGTTTTAGGAAAAATCTTTGAAAGGAATTAAAACTATATTTCTAGAAAACGGTCATGTTATATTTTCGGAACTTCTCAAATTTAAGGAACAAAGTTTTTTCATCGATACATATTTAACTCAAGAATATATATTCCACCATTTTTCTATTTTCATAACTTATTATTAAGAGCAACTTTTCGTCATGACAACAAACAAAGCAAGAACAGAAAAGTGAGCTTTGAGTTTAATTGATCAAACCAGAGTCAAAAATTATAAAATACTACAAACTTGAAAGACATTCTCTAAAGCTAAAGCAAAAACCTCTCCTCTAGGAGAAGGAGAAGAACATTTGGTATTCGCATAACGTATGGGTAAAGACAAAGCTGTTTAAAATAATAATAAATAATAAATAAATGAGCCACCTTCCAGATCGTATATTAGTATATTAAATTAAAGAATATGTGCCAACCAAAAGCTCACTTTTTACATTAAAATAACAATATCATTCTACTCTGTCTGAAATCTAAACCTTTCCCCTCTAAAATTATACTTCTTGCCTCTGTTTTTTTCTTTGTCTTTTTTCCGAGAGTACACCGCAACAGTGTGCCATGGAACCATATGAACAGTTCGTATGCTGAAATAAACTAAAACGCGAGTTCAACGATCCTCAATTGGTCGCTAAATGAATGTCACTTTTCCAAGCTGGACCCATTTCACCCATCACTGTTTCGTGTCTCTGAAAGGTCCAGCAATGCCAACAACTCCAATTGGGGGACAGAGAAAGCTCGTTTTTTAGCTGCAAAGCATCACATAATTGATGTGCTCTATCTGAAAGAGTTTGCTTTGAGTTTGAGCTTCCACAATGGCGTTGTCAAAGGTAAGATTTTAGTTTTTGAGCGTAATTTTCCTTTGGGTTAGCCTTATTTTGATCAGTAGGTGTCTGGGTTGCTTTGGTTTTAGTTCTTCAGATGCTGATTCTTGAAATCTAGATATATGTCTCTAAGGAAAAGCTTATTTCTTTTGGCTTTATTTGTGGTAACTCTCAACTGGGTTGTCCATGTTTGTCTTGAATTTTGTTATTTTGGTGGGCAGCCATGGATAAACACCCACCGTCTTCAGTTATGACAAGCTCTGGTAATCGGTGAAAAACTCTTCTTCTCCTTCACATCTATATATAGTCTTTTGATGTTATATCTTGAATTTGAGATCTTAAATTTGTACTTTTGATTCGGATTCTCTTTATCTAATGCAACCGGTAAATGTTGGTGCGTTGCTTTTACCAACAATTAATGCGAATGAAGGTTCATTCATGGCAAATTGGCAATGCAATGCCACCATTCATATAGACATCCCCTAGTTCGAATTGGCTCAGTATTCATCCCTTGTCTTCCTTGGTAGTGTTTGTTATTCCAACTCACTTGCGATTTCCTTGGGATTTCCAGTGAGCTTCCATTACTGGATCTTCCTCGGAATCCTAAATCTGGTTTACGAGAAAACAGGAGCTTCTGGTACTAATTATCTTTACTTTTACGTCCCAAAGACAATGCATATCTTTCTCTGTTGCGTTTTTCAAATGTTACTTTTTGCTTACACTGATTTTCTATGCAAAATTTAGCTTTATGTATTTATAAGCTCTGTAGAAACTGAAAATATGAAGAATAGTACATGTGTCTTTTCAGTTAAATGACCATTACAGATTCTTTGTTTTCTTTTCCATTTGCACTTATGAATCTCCTCCTCTCCATCCATTATTAGTGATAGCATTACCACCTCAGCTAGTATAGCTGTCGCCTCATCAGCTGCCATGTCAACAGCCAGAGAAGTATCTGCAACTGAAGAATCTTCCAGAAGTCTTCCTAGTTAGTTACACAGTCAAAGTTGTTAGAATTGGTTGACAGCAGTCATAACTAATCATTAGGATAATTTGTTAAGCTCATCATAGATTAGTTAAGCTCATTAGGATAATTTGTTAGCCTTTACTTATAAATTTAAATGTCTCTGATGTAATTGTGATTCAATGAGTTTATCTTTTCTTGCAGTTAATTTGGATTAGTTGAGGTGGTAGCGATACTGGCACAATTGAATTTCCTATGGAATTCCGTCTCTCCTTAGTTCTCATTCTGGTTTCTCTCCCTGCAATTTTAGCTCAAGGTGTTGGGAATACTAAAAAAGTTGGAAATGTTAAGGTTGTGGTTAATGGGATTTTAGCTATTGCACAAGTTGATAATAATTTCATCTGTGCCACTATTGATTGGTGGAATCATGAAAAGTGCGACTACAACCAGTGTCCATGGGGATCTGCATCTGCGTTAAATTTGGTAAGCACCCAGAGATACCTCTGTATGCATTTGCTTTTTTCTTTTTATGTCAAATAGTAAGAAGGGGAGTATGAAGTTAAATTTATACTGTGGTTTTCTTTTCTCCAGAACTTGTCTCATCCTTTGCTTGCCAAGTCAATCCAAGGTTTGTCTATCTGTGTTAATAAAGTTCACATCTTTTGGACAATACTATTTATTTAAGTTAGAATCAAGTGTCAATTAGAACAGATGAATTAAAGTCTTCTACTTATGTTTGTTTGAATAACTTTATCTACAAACTAAATTTACTCTTCAACATTGGTGGCTTGATAGCTTTCAATCAGTTAAGGATCAGAATTGGAGGTTCCTTGGAAGACCAACTCTTGTACGATGTAGGAAATTTGAAATATCCTTGCCATCCTTTCAGAAAGCAGAGTCATAGCTTGTTTGGATTTTCTAGAGGATGTTTACCTATGAGTAGATGGGATGAACTGAACCAATTTTTCAGTAAGACAAGGTAAGATTCAGGTTATCAACTTTCCTACCCCAACCAAATTTTATTTTACTTTTATAAAAAAGTTGGGTCTTCTCCATCTTCGTTCCTCAAAATAGGTGGTTGATGCTTGATTTATCATTTGTCTTAGATAGTGTGTCTGAGGAACATCTTTTACTATGTTGTTGTCTATCCTAACAAATCTAAAATAAAAGTCTTCATTGTGTCAAATGCATATTGGGAGAATCTCTAATTGTTTAGAAGTGTAAAACTTTCATCAGAGGTCCAACGACTTTCACTGGTTGTATTATTCAAAAATTCATTGCAGATAGCCTCTTTTACTATTATTTATATCTTACATTTTCAGGCCCATCATCACATTTAGCTTGAATGCACTGTCAGGGAGGCACCACAAAAGCGGGGGTGTTTGGGTTGGAGATTGGGACTCTAGCAACACTTATGATTTTATTAATTATACCGTTTCAAAGGGATACCAGATAGATTCATGGGAATTCGGTATGGAACAATAGACAAATCTCCTTTTCTTCCCACGTTCTACTTTTGCGTCACTTATGTTCTTGTCCATGTTGCTTTAGGTAATGAGCTCAGTGGTCGTGGTGTTGGAGCTAGTGTTGGAGCTGAACAATATGGAAAAGACTTGATCAAGCTTAAACATATTATCAACCAGTTGTACAATAAGTCCCGCACTAAACCTGCACTTGTGGCACCTGGAGGATTCTATGACCAAGCATGGTTTGCCAAGCTTCTTCAGGTTTCTGGTTCAGGGATAGTCAATGTTATCACTCAGCATATGTACAATTTGGGTGCAGGTAATTCTGTTAAGACTTTTAATAAATGCACAGTTTATAATTTTCTAATATATGGTTAAATAGTACTCTTTTGAGGTATAGTAAGTATTCACACACAGGAAGCCCCATATGCATAAATTATTTTCCTATTTCCCCTCTGCTTTGACAATTCAGCTGTGATTGTCAGGTGTTGATCCCAAGTTGGTGAGCAGAATTTTGAATCCCGGTTACTTGGACCGTGCATCTGGAACATTCCGTGATCTTGAGCAAACGGTGAAAAAGAACGGCCCTTGGGCTTCTATATGGGTCGGAGAGTCTGGAGGGGCTTATAACAGTGGTGGTCGTAATGTGTCTGACACATTTGTGAACAGCTTTTGGTAATCTTGATTGTCACACTACTTGCAACATTATGTATTTTTCATTGCAAGCTTTTGATTGTAGAAACAGAGAAATTTACCATTGTTCACTGTATTTTTGTGTAATCAACAAGCCACAGTTACTATTTATATATGAATTTCAGGTACTTGGATCAGCTTGGAATGTCAGCCAAGTACAATACCAGAGTATATTGCAGGCAGTCTTTAGTTGGTGGAAACTATGGTCTCCTGAACAGAACGTCATTTGTTCCTAACCCTGATTACTACAGGTAAAGCATGGGTGGGGTATACGAAGGATTTTCTTTTACTTGATATACCACTTATCGAAAACTGATTTTTGTTTTTGTTTTTTTTATCTTCTGAATAGTGCGCTTCTATGGCATCGACTTATGGGACAAGGTGTTCTTGCTGTTAACAGCAATGCTTCTGCAGATTTACGCACTTACGCCCATTGTGCAAGAGGAAGAGTAAGTCTGCTTTGTAGGAAGATTTTGTGCCAAGCATATAAAAGGAAATAAAATTGGTTCAAATTCATAGGAAACCAGGAATACTTTAAGTCTAAGTCTAGCAACACTACTAAGCCTATATAAAACATGAAAATATTGTAGTGAACGCCCCTTGTAACTGCCTGATAGTGCAATAACTTAACTGAATTCTAATTTTTACACTGATCTTACTCTTACTGTTCGCAGGCAGGTATAACTGTAGTCCTTATCAATTTTAGCAATGACACCGATTTCATTGTCAATGTTGAAAATATTTTGGACTTCAATCTGGGTGCTCACGAGAGAAACATTAGCAAAGAAAGTTATTTCAAGCGCAGCCTTAAGAAAACGGTGTCATGGGTAGGACGCAAAGCATTAGACAAACCAGTTTACAGAGAAGAATACCATTTGACACCAAAAAAGGGGAACCTTAGAAGCAAAACCATGGTTCTCAATGGAGCTCCATTGGAGATTACTAAGGACGGAAACATCCCAGAATTGGAACCTGCTCATGTCCTTGCAAATTCTCCGCTAACGATCAGCCCTTTGTCCATCAAGTTTGTAGTGTTGCCTTACTTTGATGCTCACTACGCTTGTGCATGATTTCTCTGTACTTTGACCCTTGGTCAACTAGCATACACCTAAGTTGCAGAATTTGTGAGCCAATGGCAATTGTAAAATCTGTACAATAAACAAGAAATATTCTCAGCACATATTTCATGCGGAGAACAAGCTGAAAAAAAAAAGGGAGAAGTTTATGATAAGTAACTTATGTTTCATATTGTCTTTAATATTCTAAATTATCTGATGAACTCCTCCAGAGAATTTGTAACAAGTTATTTATGTTTAAATTTAATAATATATATTCTTTAAAAATTTTAAAAAGAAAGAAAAAAAAATTTCTTCATAAAACGACATGTTGTTTATGACCAAAAAAATAGAACGACATGTTGTTCGCTTTAGTAGAAAAAACACTACCTAAACACGCATCTTTCTCTCAGACCAAAAAAAAAGAAACACGCATCTTTCTCGCCTTGATCTCTCTATCTATGGCGTCGACCACCCCAACAAAAGCGGAGGTGCTGTGGCTGTTTCGATCGCTGCTGCGTACGGCGAGGCAGTTCTGCGACTACAACGTGAGAGAGTACACCAAGCGTCGCACCATCGACGCCTTCCGCCACAACAAATCTCTCTCCGAGCCCTCCCATCTCTCTTCAGTCTTTTCCGACGGCAAGGCCCAGCTGGACCTCGCTAAAAGGCAAGCACTCGTGTACAAGCTCTATGCCCCAAAGATGACTAGCATCATGGACCTCAAGCCCACCATCTGAAAACCAACTCCTCCAACAACAACAATAAACGAGCTTTGCTACTTGATTTTTTGTATGTTTTGTTTAGTGGGTTTTTCTTTGCATTTTGCTTAGTTTCGTTATGCCTTGTGTAATGGGGATTTACAGTGTACCATGAGTATGGAAATGATGATTTGATAATATATATGGGTTTTCGATTTTATTGAGAATTTTTTTTCCTTGCCGGTTCATTACTTCGTTGAGAATTTTGAATAGGCTAAGACAGGTATAAAACAAACAAAGCTCTAGATGACAACACATTCATCTTAAAGAAAAAGTCTCCTTTACTAATCATCCTTTCAACTTATGTCTCACGAACAAAGTGTTATACAAAATCCAGATACTTCAACGTGTCTACATCCAGATCCATAAATCGGGCTAAAAAAAGAGTGAAACAAAGAATATGTGGGGGCACTGGACCGCAAACATTATCAGGTCTCTCCAGGAAAGCATCTACAACCCTGTATTCTACTTTCCAAGCAAACGACGACCGCGTTGATTTGCACCTCTAACACGAACATTTAGCTCATCAACATCATCATAGAGATGGCCCAGAGCTTTGTTATGCCTGCAAAAATCATTGGGGAGATACTAGTTACATTTAGTTTAATGTTGCCTTAAAAGGTTCAGGCTGGATGAGCAAATAGAGGATGGCGATCAAGATAATCAACTTAACATAGAATGAACGGAAAGATGCAGGCACCAATGTATCTGAACTGAATCATCATAACTAACCTCTCAATTTCAGACCCCATGTCAACGGCCATATCCTTCAGCTCTCCCAACAGATCACTTAAATCCGACAATCCATCATCTTGCTTCGCCTTCTCTAACTGTTAAAGCCAAAACGTCAGTCAACTGGAAAATTTGAAAAAGAACAAAAGCCAAGCAAACAAATACAAACCTCAACTTTCTGAAGGGCATTGACAGGTCCAGGAGGTAGTGTTTGTGGAGTTGACCTTCCCTTGGGTGCAGAAGTCAGTCCCAACTTCTCCCTCTCCTCCAACTGGCCACCCCTTCTGACTGCATTATCTGCATTTTCCAATTTTGAAAATGATAATATTATTATTTTTCCAGAGAAAGGAGATAATATACATAATTTCCAGGGGCAACAAAGAGCATATAAGTAATGGACAGAAAAGAAAGCAAATTAACCTCCTGTGATGACAGGGCCACTTATTGGGCGAGTCTTCTTTGGCTTCCAAGTCTTAGAGAAGATGCCCCCAAGACTTCCTAGAAGTTTTTCACCCTGAAATAAGAAAGTAATGAAATTGTTCATTCTACCAAAGAAGATCACCATTAATACCAAAAACAACAATAACAAAACCATAGGAGTTGTTGAAAGAGGACTCAAGAACTAAAACGTGTTTCTTACTGAAGAGAATAGAATAGTGAAGGAGGCTATTGGAGAAAGTATGATATGTCAATTTTCACAATTAATAGTACTGGAGGATACACTATATTTATCATCACTGCCATTAGTGGCTTGTTTGTACTATACATTCGATCATCATTTCATTGTAACTTATAAAAAGTTAAATTGATAAACTCTTATATGGACAAGGCTTGCCATCCCCAAATCAGATAAAGATCTACATCAGGATTACAGAAAAAGAAAACAAAAAACCTATATAGGAATCAAATGAAACTCTCTCCAGAAGGAAGAGCAAGGGGTTTGGGATGGGGAATTATCAACACAAATCAAGACCAAAAGTAGAAACAAATAGGCATATCACAAACAGATAATGCATGTAAGAACAAGATCACCTGCTATACAAAAACCATCAACTCCGTTGGTATGCAATGCAAAAATTAAATTGTTAATCATGATAAATGGTAGTAGATAGTCTAATCAATAATCAACTGCATCAATACTGGGAACATAATACTTTCAAGTCTTATCTTTCATATGCACTTAAATTCTTGATGTATATAACTTTAATTTGATCAAGGAAACCATACCCGACTAAGATCCTGATCAATGTCTGCAGCGACCATGTGGGACCTAGTGATTTGTTCCCCCTGCTGATGCAACGTGACCAAAGTTTTGGTAGCATCCTCTCTTATTTCTTCAGCAATCTTCAGGCAGCCATTGACTGATTTTGTAGTCTCCTCAGCCTTGTACACTGCATAGTTCTCCAACTCTTCCACTGATTGATTCTCTACTCCTCCTGTATCACGGAAATCATTCTTGTACTTGTTTCTCTCTGTCAACATAGTCTTGTTTGAATATGAAGAATATTTCTCTTCTCCTTGACCATCATCAAATGGATTAGTGCTAGTGTTCTGTCCAACTGGAGCATTTTCAAAAGGGTTTGAGCCAGAAGAAGCAGGATATACAGGATTAACTGTGATATGTTTAGCAGCCTTCAAAGGAGACTTCTTTAAGCCAAACATTTTCAATGGGAAAATATGCACAATTTAGTCGAGCGACCAATGGGGTAGAAGATCTGAGGATCTTAAATGAAATTGAAAAATGGTACTTTAGAAATCTGTACAAAGATCAACAGCAGTCCTGGAAGAGCAAACAAGAACAATATGTGAGATGTTGGCAATACACCAAAAGCATCAGCACTCAAACAAAGAAGAGCCAACTTAGCAAAAGTTCAAAACCTTCATAATAAAATGAAAATTGGGCAGTACAGCTCAAGAACAAATTTCAAGGAAGTAACCGAGAACACCAAATCAAGAAACACAAACTTGTAAAGAAAACATACACAAATTGAAAAGTTTGCCCCAATTCCTTAAAAGCCCACGACCACTTGGGTCGTGCAATCTCCCGGTACAATGAGAACTTTTGAAAAATTAGAACTTTAAAACGAGATCAAAAGACGAAACAACTATAATATTTAATCACAAACAAACACACAACAAACCCATTTGCTTAATTTGGTTGCTCAGCTGAAACAAGGAAAAGAATCAAATTCCAGAAAAAAATTCATCATATGGTATCCCAGAAAACTAAACAATTTGACTTGGTTGACTTGACCTTCTTACTGAACAACCCCAACTACACAAAGAAAAGAATCAAAAATTCCGTTTTCCTTTTTGTTCCTCCCTTTTCTCAGCAACCAAACAGAGGAGATGAATAAAGAAAATCAGAGATAGCCAGAAATGGGCTCTTGAAATTAAATAGAGAAGTTGACCGTTAGATAACAACAAAAAAGGAACAAAGCAAGAGAAGCTACAGAAAACCCAAGTGGAAAAGGAGAAAATAATCAAAAAGGAGAACCAGTATCAAAGAAAATCAATTAAAAGAAAAAGATATGCATACCTGAGAAATTGCATCAAATGTCTTGCAAGGAGGAAAAGCCAGATCTTTTTACGGAGAGAGAGGGGGAGAGAGAGAGTTTTAAAGGGTGGGAAAGAGGGAAGGGGGTATTCAAAGGTAGACTTGGCAATTGGAAAAACGCGGTGTCACAAAACGTAGCCTTTAGGATGGAAACTGGAAACTGCTACTGGTCATTCGGGTGATTGGGTCTTGTAAATTTCAACAAAGGAACGCAGTGTTTTTATGCTTTTGTTTGTTTCCTTTCTCACTTGTTTTCTTTTTAAATAAATAAAATTATTTTTTTATAATTACTTTCCTTAATTAAGTACACGTGTTTACGTATCCTTTTTAGTTAATTTCGCTTCCATCTCAATTATAGATGGTTGAAGTTGAACAAATCAAATGATTCTTAATTGAACCCACTTCTTCCATTCTCGTCTTTTTTTTCTAAGAGGATCAGTTTGGACTAGTTCTTTGTAATTGTTTCTTATATCCCTTGGCAAGTTGGGGCTCATAAATATTATATAGCGACACTATCCTTTGCATTGACTACCAAAGTCAAGTCTTCTGGCCACCAAACCATAACATATTTTCCAATTACTCATAAACCTATGGAAAAAAAAAAAAAAAAGAATTATAGCATTATGTCCTAGGCTAGATTTATGGCATGAAAGTTTAAAACAAGAAACACCGTTTCATGGAATCCGACCAACGATCGGTGGTTGGTATTGTGAGGCTCCAATAACATCTTGCAAAGGCAGCCGGCCATCAGTTGGAGTTGATTTTTGCGACCCTATGCCGGCCGGAAGAATCCATTTTATTTGGTGGCGTTGTGTGAGGAGTTGCAACTAATAGAGACAATACATTGATGTTAATTTGTCACCAAGTTACGTTCAAATGAGCATTTACATTATTGTAATTGCCATTGAATTAGGACGTATTATTACCAAAGTAAACTAAAGAATATATACCAAAATGATGTATGCGAGGGATTACTAAATAATCTTTTCCAACCACCTTGCGAAATTTCTCATAAGTTTTTTCAAATAGTTGGGTTTCCTTTACACTACAAATCGGCTCATAACATGATGACAAATGGGATCCTGATGTGTGCTCAAATCGAATGGGATAATTATGTTTCACAAGCAACATTTTTTTTGGTAAGATGGAAAATCTGTACTCGGACTTGAACAAATAAGAGAGATTAGAGTAGCAGCCACTCCAGCCTTAAGATATATATTAACATTGGTTAGGATAATTAAAAATAAATAATAGTTGTTGTCACTTCTTAACAATGATGGACTACATGTTGCCTCATTGCTAGGTATAAACGTTTTATATATGGGGTCTCTCTCCCCATAACTAAACCCTACTATGCATTATTATCTTATCATAATTTTTATGGGTTATTAGAAAAGTCACCATCATCCTTGCCTTATGTGAAGAAGTCTAAAATAAATATTAATGATCTCTTTTGACAAATAAATATTAATGGTCTCTCTCCCCATCACTAAATCTAGGGGTGGCATTTTAGATCGAAAAACCGCAAAAACCAACTGATAATTTACTACAATGAAACCGCATTTGCGGTATAAAGAACCGAACTGCATTTGTGGTATTTGATTTTCAAAACTTGCTGTTACCGCAAACCGCGACTATATTTTCAAAAAAAATAAATAATTGCATTTTGTAGATAGCATTGGGGCTTAAACAATACAACGAGGTCATTTAAATCCACTCACCACCACCAACACTTAGGTTTGTAACTTTAGTTTGTAACATTGGTGCATTGCATTTTCCTTTTAGTTTGTAACTTTAATTAACTTTGAATTGAATTTTTCTTTTGAGTTGTAATTTTAATTCATTTTGCATTGCATTTTTCTTTTGGTTTGTAACTTTAAAGGATTTGGAATTGGAATGCTTGAGAAGTTGAGCTTGTGAATGCTTGAGAAGTTTAACTTTAGTTGGAATGCTTAGAATTGTAACTTTAATTTTCTTTATATTGTGAATGCTTGAGAAGTTGAAGAGGTTGTGAATTTATATATACTTAAGAAGTTGAGGTTGTGAATTTATTTATTTAGGTTGTGAATTTATATTTTTTGGTTAAAGTATGCTTGAACTCAAAAGGCTTCAAAAGAAGTATCAAAATTAGGCCTAAAATGTGGAAGATTGGATTTTTATAACACAAAAAGAACTTGCGGTTTTAAACTGCTATTTCACGGTAACCGACCATTTTTTGGGGGTAAAACGCAAAAAGCGGTCAGTTTGCAGTTTCAAAAATCACCATACGTCAAATAGTCGGTCGGTTTGCAGTTTGGGCAAAAATTCGCGATTACCGAACCGCAATCACCCCTAACTAAACCCCACTATGCATTATTATCTTATCATAATTTTATGGGTTATTATAAAAGTCACCATCATCCTTGCCTTATGTGAAGAAGTCTAAAATAAATATTAATGATCTCTTTTGACAAAGAAATCTGGAGAAACAGACACAAGGACAAAAGCCATCTGCTCAGTTTGGTTGGTAAGAAAATGATCATATTCTAGAATAATTTTCCGTCATTTTGGGATGATTCATTCTAGAACAAATTTTCATCGTTTTGGTATCCCGGATGTTTATACATTTTACTCGGTTTTGGCGAACACAACATATCCTTGTCAGTTTTGCTATGCGCGTACTGGTACATGTTGAAGTCTTGCGTACAATCAATTCACAAAGGCTTTTTACGCTAGCTTTCAGTCAAAACAAGACATATGCAAGCCTGCAATACATCATCAATAATGTCAACATGGCGAAAGACGAAATGTCAAATATATCTACAAATTTCTTATCCATTAAGACTTTCGTTCTAAACCACAAACAAGGAAGGCCATTTTGGCCACTTCTAAGAATGTAGCTTCACTAGGGTTCCAATACTAGGAGGAGACTTCTCACTGGATTCTTGACAGACAAACAAAATTGGTTTTACCATCAATTGCATTGCATGAGTCTTGTTTGTAAGTTTCTTTTTCCCCCTCATTTTGCTCTTCATTTATGGCCAAAAGAAAAACCTTTAGCATGAATGTCACCCAACTTTTGCGGCTAGACATACTTTGAACTTCCACCAAATATATTTCAAATATGGAGTTTATTAATATTTATATATGGATAATTAAAGGTAACATAGTTCATGTGTGACTTCCATACATGGAAAAGAATTGAAAAGTTAGAGCTCAGAAGATAAGAAGTAAGATCCAAAGATCAAACACCTTAAACTGATGAAAATGATCTCTTTTGTGGACATGTAACTGTTTAATATTATAATCATGATTAAGGGTGACTTTGCTGCTACCGTAAGAAAAAAAAAAAGAAGGAAAGAGTTTTATCAGGGAAGATCTGAAGTTCTAGTTTTTATGGCGGTATTTTATCTTTTAACGACACTTTTTGACTTTTAGATACGGTTTCTCTACTTTTCGTAACGATTTACATGTTCGAAATCTGCAAAATTGCTTTACATGCGGAAAAAACCGTAGCTATACGTTGCTATAGGACCTTATATCGATGGTCTTCAAAACCGCCGCTAAAAGTCGGAACAAATGCAAATTGCCTCCACAGACTGAAACCAAGCAAATAATTTGACAAGAGAAAACCAGACCCCCCATTTTTATTATCTTTTTATGTTTATACACATATTACATTAAAATTTAATTTAAAGTATTGTTCAAATCATTACACTTGCATACATGAAAATGTATGGTGAAAAATTCACTGCAAGTTCCTCACGTTGTCCCTTGTAGAGATGATTCCTTTTCTTTACGGACATGCTTGCATATTATCATTGCCAAACCTTCATTGGAATGGTCTCTGGGAAATTGAACAGCACAAAGGTAAGAGCTGAAGCTGGAATATACCCATGTGGATGCTACCTCTGAACCTTCACCACATCACTTTGCTTCATTGAGATGCCGGAGAGCAGCAAAGGATTTCACCGATTGTGTCCGTTCTTTTGTAACCTTACCAAATAACAAGATTATACATTTCAGATATTTCCTCTCACTGCTAATAGAAACATTGCAAATCTGAACCTCATTACCTGTGCTTCTAACTCAGCAATTCTTTGTAAAGATGCTTGTTCGATACAAGCACGGCGCTTACACTCTTCTTCAAGTAAACCTGTCATTCGGTATCTGAGCTCAGCCATTTCTTGAGCTAGATCCTCTGCTTCTTCCTTTGCCTTCAACTTTTCCTCTTTCAGTTCTTCCTAACAACCAAAAGTAATGCAACATTTTGAAGATATAATCAACTTAATAAAACATTAAAACTCTGAAAGGGCAATGACCAACTGACTGAACTCTCACTTGAAAGCTTGACACATATTTTTTGTAAACACCACATTCAGAAAAATTGTTTCTGAGAGTATACATATATTTTTTTTAATTAAAAGCTGTCAAAAGCAATTATCAAGTATTCCTCCCCGGTATTCATACCTTTAATTGCTTCACAAGAAGTTCATAATCTTGTATACGATGTGACATCTTCTCCATCTTCATTATTGAATCTGCATCTGGTGCCACTACTATTGCCAGTTTGGAAAAGAGTGGGCCCAGGACTTCTCCGTAACTGCTTCAGAAATATCAAGATATTACTAGAAAAATGTTAAGACAAAATTCATGATGAACTTCAAAAGATGAAATGCGTCTAGTACAGATATTAATTGGTATTATATTTGATGGAACAAAGTGAATAAGTTAATCAATAAAGAGTGAACTAACAGTAAATAGTTGCATACCTCATTTCTTTTGAGTATATGTAATTTCCCTCTGGTTGACCCAACGAAGACTCTGAGTCGAGTTGAATTCTGTCCTTTTCCAGCCATTTTTCAACCCTCTGGCAGAATATCCTAGTATTTGTCTCAGATGCATTAAGCTTCTTCCTGAGTTCCTTATTTTCCATATATAAACTTTCAACAGTTTTGTGTGCATTCTGACATTGAACCTCAAGCTCTTGAATTAACTCACTCATCCTAGTCTTTTCTTGAACAGTTTCTTCCTGGATTTTTTTAACTTCAAGGAAACTGTGCTCTAAGGCCAATATATCAAGCTTCATACTCTCTATTTCACACTGAGACTCTAATGACATGGATGAAATTGACTCCTCTAGTTTATCTATGCACAAAGCTGAATTCTGTAACTCTATCTCTTTGCTTTCTAGTTCCTCCATTAAGAACATGCGCTCTGAATAGGACTTCTTAAGTTCATCCCTTAACCTGTCAACCGTCTCTTGTAAATTTTCCATGTCTGCTAATTTGAACTCAAGGCTATGTGTATGCTCTTCAAGGAGGTTCACTTCAGTGTTCCTTGCATTTAGTTGATCCTGCAGGTAATCTGTCATAAATATTTTTGATGGGTTAAGTTCAAAATAATATGGTACTTTGATATATCTAGCTAGCACCAAAGAGTCCATTGAAGATGAACTGAAAACTACAAATTTTGTGTTATCTATAGATCCTACAATGATCATGCAATGCAAAGCATAGTTTTTTTTTTTTTGGGGTAAATCAATACAAAGCATCTTTCACAAGATCATCCAGAAGAAATTGTTGGTCTAAGGAAAAGAATGTCAAAACAGATGATTACCAATTTCTTGAGAGCAGTTCTTGAGTTCTTTCTCTAACATTTGAATTTGTTTCTTGTCCTCTGTGCAGGCTTCAGATAATGAATTCACATGTACTTCTAATCTCTGAATTAACCAAATCTGAAATCAGATACTCTCCCAGAGGAAATAATTTCTTCAAGCTTCAACGACATCTTTTGCATCACTTTTTCTTTATTTAACATCGGTAGACGTGGATAAAAAGATCCAAACTTCCAGCTCTCATTTGTTTTAGGGAGATGTTATTGGTACTCCCCCAAAGGTCATCCTACACTCCTCCCGTACAAAAATATAAGACAGAAATTGTACTTCAAGGAGTACAGGATGACTTTGTGGAAGTGCATTTAACAGCTCCGTATTTTTTAATATTCTTCTGTTATTTCTTATTTCATTATTTTATTAATTGATGTGCAACAATTATATAAACCCAAGGCACCAATAAGCACTCTTGCTCTTGCACAAAGCACAGACTCATACATGACACTTCACATCCCACAGACCTCTAGCCTGACTACACCCACATGCCTCACTTTCGCTTAACACACTGGCTACAAACTTCATGACTGGGAGACAATTCAAACTTATCCGTAATCAAATAAGTAATAATTGGCAGAGAACCCCTACAGGTGAATGAGTGAGAGAGGGAGGGAGAACGACTAGGTGAGGTATTGGCCCCTGTTAACACCCTCAGTGGACAAATACGGTATGCAAAGAAAATATAAACATTACCCTGATTAGCCCGAAGCTTTGGGAGTGTGATTCTTTCAACATGTCTTTTTCTTTCTTTAGCTGCATACAAATATATAATTTTTTTTTATAAAAAGAGTAAATGAACATATAAATAAGGTACTAATTGGCAACGAAATTTAACAGCTTCCACAAGGTAACAAGATACCAGCAGCAAGTACAGATATTATTAAATCAAAATTCCATGACAAATAAAAGTATGCTCTGGTTTAAAAACAAGAAACCTAATGTATTCTTCTCTGAAGCAGTAATACTGAACAAATAAAGACTCCAACTAATACAACGGAAAGGGAACGTCTTGGCAAAACTATCTCAAGCTGCTTGTTACGATATAATTTTTATAAATTCTTACGTACATAGCTAATATATCCATAACCAATATATATTTTGTGTTAGACATTATCCAAGTAAATCTTCTCTCTTCTGTTCCAAATACGCCATCTTCAAAAACAGACCCAAAAAAAGTAGACAAAAATCACACCTCTCTACATCTTGTCCCAATCTGTAGGAGTTCCTCAACATCAAAAGAGCTGACAGCATTGCCCTTGGTGCTGCTTGACATTTGTGCAAGAGTAAGCTATACAAATCCCCCCCAATGGCCTAAAATCTTGCATTCATAAGACAAACATCAATATCCATCATAAAAATTGCCTACACCAGAAAACTTGCTCTGTCTAATCCAATCTGATAGGCTGCGTAATCATGGGAATAACCAAAAAATGAAAAAGCATGTTGGCTCAAGATATTCATTTCTATTAATAGAAATAGCTCAAGGTGAAATAGCTACAAATTGCATTTCAATTCAAGTATCGTTCCCTGTGAATACAACACAAATTACAAAACTTTCCAGTAAGGTGAATGAAAAGCACTGCTTTATATTTGTTGGGTACTCAAAATCTGTTATTACAAAACAAAAGATTACCACGCGGAATTAAGAACAACATAATTATACTTCGTATGAGAACAATCGGAATTACATTTTTCTGAATGAAGAACAAAAAAAGTTCATTAAAATTTTCAAAAAGATAAATTTAAGCTTAGACCCATTTGATTGAAATGATACAGTAATCGCCAAATCATAAATTTGAGAACTTTCAAGGATATAATTTTCAAAACCCATCAAAATATCCGAAGCGAAATAGACAGCCCATCAAAATATCCGAAGCTAAACACCCAGACAGACAGAGAGAATAAAGTTGGAAGCTTCAATTCAATACCTGTGGTCTGTGGCTTTGGGTGAAACGAATCAGAGTTTCAGACTGGACCTTGGGAAGTTTGAGTGGAAATTCTCCAAATTTTCAGACCGTTTTGTTTAAATGATGAATTTGGGGTTTACATGAGAATTGCTGCCAACTCATTTTTGGTTCGAGTAGGCCCGACGGGGTAGTTTTGAGTCCTAGCTGACAAATGTTCGGGTCGGGTCAAGAAGAAGTGAACTATATCTACAAAGCTAAAGGCAAAGAATAGTGGATCATTCAAAATACCAGAAAATACTCTTGGTTAATTCAAACATTAAGAATTGAAGTTATTAATTAAATGAGGATAATATGGTAAATTCACATTTTTCATATTTAAAAAATTAAAAATAAAAATAAAATCAGATAATATGTCCTACTTTTATAGAACATAACTACCCATGTTATTTTTTCTTAATTCTAAAAATAAAATAAAAAGGAAAAAAGAAAACTAATTGGCACATGCGCGTGAGCATGTGCCAAGGAGGTAGTAGAGTATAATTTACCAAAAAAAAGAATAGTGAAGTTTATATGAATAGCCTATCTCTCTCTACAAAAGATCTTAGTATTATACAAATGTTTATGCTAAAATGAAGTACTATTTTTTTTTGAGATTTTCTATTTAAACCCCACATTTTTCTTAGTTCACCTCATGTTTTAAGTTCACCTCAACTTTTAATTTAAATTTTCACAATGTCTAAGAAAACCTCATTATTTTCCCAAACTACCCTTAAATACACCCCAAGTTGAAAAAATAAGAAATAAAAGAAGTTTTTTATTTAAACCCCACAAGCTACCCTTAGAGGAGGAAGGACGTTCTACAAGCTCTAATGCTAATTGCTAGACATTTTATCATTTTCTCTCGAGTATTTAATAATGACAATGAGGTATTTACAATGAGAATGATAATGAAGTTGGTAAGAACGTTCCATGCAAGAGGAGATAAAACTGGTACTTGAGGTTGCTACACTTTGCACTAGGAGTAGGACATCTGATTGGCCATCAATGGAGAATACATTGAAGCTTTTATCATAGTGGAAAAGCAACAAGAAAAATAACCCAACTATTGACGCAGCAGCAGCAGGATTATGATTTTAGATGCATACTGGAATTCCAGAAGTGACAATAATATTACTGTTCCCAGTAGAAATAAAACACAAACAAATGAAACCGCAAATATGAACTTTAATACTTTATAGAGAAAGAGAACAGCTTTACCAAAACATCAGGTATAAAAAATAAAAAATAAAAACAAAAACAATCAACAACCAAGCAATCAACAAAGGGAAGATAATAAGATCATTACAGCCAAACAATCAACAAGTCTTTTCATCAGCTCCCACCCAGATTTTAAAGAGGCATGCTCGTCAATGTTCTACGTCTCTGGCAATACGATGTAAAGGAATTTGTATTTTTCTAAAACTTAATATGAAGAGTGGTGGGGTGTGTGGGTGTGTGTATATGTACTAGGGTTAAGTATTAAGTTGGATGACTTTTTTTGTCTTTTTACACAATAAAAAAACTTACAGCTTAATGATTTAAGTATTGGGGTGAACTAAGAAAAATGTGAGGTTTAAATAGAAAATCTCTTTTTTTTTTTTAAATACAATTGATAGTCTAAACTACATGGAGGAGGGGGACTTATCACAAACACACACTACCAAATTCGAACATGAGAGTTTCGAAAATCAGAACCTAAGCACATTTTTTATATAAAACAAGATGTTTCAAATATAAGCTACCACTCAATTCATTTTAGTAGATTAATTATAAAAAAAAATGATTATGTGTATATAAACAAATATATATGTGGCAATCTCAACATGGGCTTATGATTTTCTTTATTCATCTTCACTTCAAATATTCATATAAGAGGTACATGATGAAACTCAAACAGAAATAATTTTGTACCATTATACCGAGTGTAGCCATTTTTGAAAGAGTTCAAAAGATAGGAGGCATAAAAACATTTTATGTGGGGTCTCTCTCCTCTCAATAAAGCCTACTATGCATAATTATTATTTATTTTGGCCTTATGTATAATTAATTGATTTTCTCTCTTTTAAAAAAAACAATCTATGTAAAGAGTTTAGGAAAAGAAATGCAAAAGAAGTCTATCCTTTTACCCCTCATCTTTTTATCTAAAGAGAATGACATGATGGAGTACACTTTATGCTTCTTATTCTCCTTCATAATCTTTTCCAAACAATAATTTCTCAATGCTTAATCTTCTCCTTTGGACAAGAAATAAATAAATAAATACTATGAGAGAATCAAAATTATGATAAAATATTGAGTTGATGTTGCTTTCATTAACCTTTTTTGTGTGTGGGTAAATTTCATTAAACAAGTTGGTATTTGATTAACATAAGAAAAAACTACTACTTCCAAGATTTCAGAATATGTGATTTTGGAAATACCAACAACTTGTACATTTTGTTTTTGTCCGAAGAGAACTTCTAAATAATTATGAGAAAAGTCACCTTCATCATCCTTGCCCCTTGTACCATATGTGAAGACACGTACTTGTAGATTTTGTGATGCATATTAGTGCATGTTGAACCCATTAAACCTACACCACAAGGATGTCACAAGAAGTCGTATTAATGTAATACGAAGGGACAAAAGTTCCTCCAAGTGTGAAGATAAAAGTTGCTGATGAAAATGAGGCAACGATGTTGCTCGTGAAAAATATGTTGCGACATTGCTGCTGATTTGGAAACATGTTACTCAACCAATTTAAGGAAGAACTAATATATTACATTTTCACACTGCATCGCACTGTGTGCGAACGATAACGAATAGGCAACTTTGATGTCGACATACATGCCGAGTGGAATAAGATATTTACAAGTTATGCATTTTTTATTATATTGCTTTTAGGTCAACTTTGATGTCGACTTACATACCAAGTGGAATAAGTATTATGTCGAGGATTTATTTCAAAAGATCTATCGAGAATTCAAGTATGAATTGCATGACTACTTCCAGTCTTTTGAATCAGCTGAACATGCTAAAGAGAACACTCCCAAGCAGATGATAGGGAGAGACAGATCACAATGACTATATTTATATGCACAATTTCAATCTCCCGACTTTATGATATTAAATATCCAACAGCTTCGACAAAAGCTCCTCCGAGTGTGAAGATAAAAATTGTTTTTGAAAATGAGGCAGCGATGTTTGTTAAAAATAGGTTGCAATGTTCGTGCTGATTTGGAAACATGTTAATCAACCAATTTCACGAAGAACTAATATATTACATTTGCACATTGCATCACAACGTATGCCAACGATAACGAATAAACAACTTTGATGTCGACATATATGCCGAGTGGAATAAGGTATCTATAAGTTATGTATTTTGATTATATTGCTTTTAGGTCAACTTTATTGTCGACGTACATGCCGAGTGGAATAAGGATTATGTCAAGGATTTATTTCATAAGATATATCAGGAATCCAAGTATGGATTGCATGACTACTAAGTCTTTTCAATCAGCTAAGCACACTAAGGAGAACCATCCCAAGAAGATGATGGGTAGAGCCATATCACAATGGCTATGTTTATGTGCACATTTTCAGTTTCTGAGTTTATGGTATTAAATATGTAGTTTACAATTCCCTAACATATTTCGTATAAAAGTTCAAATGTTTTGACTATACATATATATTGTATTAATATTCAGTTTACTTATTGTAGAGCGATCAAAAGCCAATAAGGAGAATTAATCAAATGATATGTATGATAATCATGGCTGGAGCAAAACCATTTTCATTGCGCTATCAAAAATACATACAAATAAGTTTGATAGCGAGAAGAATAGTACTTATTTAACAATTTTAATGAGTGATAGTATAAGTATATTTGATTAACGATTTTAATGACGACAATCATACTTATTTGAGTCTCAAAACCGCTTAGCCAAGATTTTGTTGACATAATGATGACAATCATACTTATTTAAGTCTATGTTATAGCTGACCTACAATTAACAATAATGAAACATTGAATATTTAACATAATACTTGGCACACTCACAGTTATCTCATCCATAAGGTCATTTTCTCTTGTCTTTAGGAACGTCACCCTAATAAGCATGATCTATAGAACATTTTTTCCAAATAATTGCCCAAAGATGTGAATGGGCCAATAAGGAGAATCAATTAAAGGAAAAGTATGACAATTATGATTGAAATCTATCCCACACACAAAAATCGTGCATCGACTACAAATAATTGTTAAATATTGAATATCGATATTTTACTGCAATGAGGTTGAGGCACGAATTTTTGGCCTTCATAATGAGGATGTTACAAGAAGCTTCTCCGAGTGTGAAGATAAAAGTTGCTGATGAAAATGAGGCAACAATGTTGCTTGTGAAAAATAAGTTGTGATGTTACTATTGATTTGGAAACATGTTAATCAACCAATTTCAGGAAAAACTAATTTATTACATTTACGCATTGCATCGCAATATGTATGATGCTTCATCTGCTTTTTGGTTCAGTTTACTTTATTTGCACTAGATGCTTTATGCATAGTTACAAAGTAAAAATACATTCATATGAAGAGGTAATTAACATTAGCTTAATAAGTAATACAATGATATCAATACCAAAAATTCCAGTGAAAGAAAATGAGTACACAAAAATGCCCATTCATGTGCGACATCTCGATCAAGTATCTCCAATGGTGAGTTGGCTAAAGCCTCTCCTGTTGATGGGAAAAACTCGAAAGTATTTACAAGTTATGTATTTTTGATTATATTGCTTTTAGGTCATGTTTGTTGTCGACGTACAGGGCGAGTGGAATAAGGATTATGTCAATGTGCACATTTTTAGATATTTGTTTCAAAAGTTCAAATATTTTTACTATACATATATGTTGTATTAATATTCGATTTACCTATTGTAGAGCGATCAAAAGCCAATAAAGAGAATTAATCAAAGGATAAGTATGACGATCTTGCTGGAGGAAAACCATTTTCATTGCGCTATCAAAAATACATAGAAATATATTTGATAGCGAGAAGAATTGTACTTATTTAAAAAATTTAATGTTTGACAGTATAAGTATGTTTGATTAGCGATTTTAATGACGACAATCGTATTTATTTAAGTCTC